AGAAAAACAGCTGATGCCGAGCGGCGGTCATTGATATGTAATGCTGTAAGTGCACGCATACACCGGTTTATGTGTTGTGTGTGTGTGTGTGAGAGTGTGCTTTTCGTGGCCGACACGCCGCTTGGCTCAAATTTTGGATTGACCGCCAGCAAACGTGTTGTGAGCAGAAATTGCAATGGTCAAAAAGTAAACAAGCAGCAGCAGCAAGCTGTTAGTAGTAGGCATTTGATGGCGATGTTGTTGTTGTTCCAGACAGTTTTATTGTTGCTATTGCCATTAGTGCACAATATGCTTTTGTTTGCTACGAACAACACGCTGTCTCCACGCGCACGCTCACTCTCTGGTCAACGCCGCTGCTGCTGCGGCCTCTGCTGCTGCTCCGCCGCATGTTTGCCTGTTTGTTTTGCTCGCTATTCGCCCGGCGGCCAACTCGTTTGCCTGCCTGATGGCTGTTGGCTGGTGATGCAATTCTGTTGGCTGCCCATAGATGGCAAAAGCAACAATGTGCAATAACAGCAACAAATTTTTATGTGTTAGCTGTTGTTTTGCTGTTGCTGTTATTGCAGTTTGTAATGCAATGCGTGACTAGGCGCACACACTTGGCACACAAAGCGAGTGCGTGCGTACATACAAACATTTGCAGTTGCTAGCGCTGCGAGCATGTAACATAATTACCGATCTATGTTTTAGCATTTACATGCATTACCTTATTTATGCATGTCATGTGACCTATTTTTTGCTGCAACCTTGTTTAATTTAAATTGCGTACTTTGAAGTTTCTTTCAGTTGTTTAGCAAATTTTTTGGTTAGAAATGGTTTGAGCATTGCAACATCGTTGCACCAATGTTAATGCATAATTTTTTATGCAACAGTTTTATGTTACCGAAATTTAGTAACAACAGTTTGTACGGCAATTTCGAAAATAGCCAATTAGATTATTTTCTCGTTCAAATGTCATTTTTCGAGTTTTCAACTCGAGTTTAATAAGTTACATGGTTTTTCAACTTTTTTTCCATAGTTGTAATCGAAAATAAACGTCCTTCGCCCAAGTCTTTAAGAATTGTAACTCTAAGATATGTGTACAATTTAATAAAGATCGGTTGAGTAGTTCTCGAGAAATCTTGAAAAACGGCTTCAAAAACACAGTTAGGAGAAAGATGCGTTTAAAGACGGCGCACTTAGCCTCGAACGCGTAAGTTCTCAAGGCTGCTTCTCCGAAACAATTACTCGGGTCAACTTGAAAATTTAGGACAATATTCTGAAGGTGTTTTAGATTTTAACAAGACCATAAAAAGCGATTTTTTGAAACCCGTAAACCCATGTAACCCCCTAAGTTGATATGAATAATATGTATTTTTGGAGATACAGTCTTGAAAAGTTGCGCGATCGAGGTTTAAAAGCATTTTTCTCGGCATTGTGTTGTCGGCTTATAAGATATTGAAAAAAGTTCGTTTTCTGTTCGCCGAAACCCATATAACCCGATAACTCGTTCCATTTTATAATAATATATGATAATACAACTTCAATTTGGAAAAATGTTTGGCCAGATGTTTGAAAATTTTCTAAAATGAGTGACTTTTTCCATAGTGTTATTTATTGGCGCAATTCACCAACATATCAAACGAAATTGGAATGAATAATTGATCTAGAGCTTCTTAATTTCTTTCATTTAATAATAACTCCATAAAATACAACTTGATCTTACCACTTCTCTTCTTCTTTTTCTTTGGCACTACAACTATGGGTCTGGGATCTGGGTTGAGAACACAAAACTTCACGAGTTATCTCTATTCATTATGAGGTCCGGCAATTTGTCCATCCTAATAGCAAATATTTCGTTGTTTTCGTGCCACTCCATGAATCTCGTGTTGAAGAAGCCTTTTGCTTCAATGTCGGCGTAGACATTCTCTTTACTATTCATTACTGTAGCGGACGGCTTCAATGATCTTGCGAAGCACAGTGCTCTCCAATACTTTCTCATTTCGGGTCGTATCGTCCATATTTCTAAATACATTTTATCAAAAATGGTAAGGGAAATACTTCGATTTACGTTATTGGAAGTAAACTTCTGAAGGAGGCGTCATTAACAAACACATCGACACGCTTCATATTTTTGTGGATTTCAAAGACGCTTCTGACAGCACTGATAAGAGGTGCTTACTCGACGCTATGTTTAATAGCTTAAATAAAAATTATTAAAGTACTATTTGTGAATTGTATACACCCTTGAACATAGCACAAATTTATTGAGGCTGCTAATATCAATTACAGTCAATTCGCCTGCTTCGTAGAAGGCATGACAATCGAGATGCTTTAGCTTTAGTCTCGCGAAAACGAATCTGGAAATCGGAAGAAAGTTTCCAGGATTTTTCCCCTCATTTTCCAGTATCCAGTTAAAACATCGAAGTTTTCCTCTAGGGAGTGGTACAATATAGTATGTATATCTTGCGCTTCTATCTAAAAGAAGCTGTTTCCGAGAAGTGCCGCTTATGCTTGAAAGACAAAGATTGTAAGATCTCAAGTTGTTCGGAATATATGTAAGTTATATAAACGTAATTATAATTTTTCGACAACACAGTGGAAATACATTTTTGCGTACAAAAATAATATAAATCATCAACTAAAATGCAAAAAAACTTATCATCAAAAAAATCTAGTTTCTTATTGCTTATGATTAATTACATCATATTACATATCTAACTAAATGTAGCATAAAATACTCAGCTTCCGCTGGCAGATATAGCCAATATATCACCAACATGTAATACATACCATTACATACGTAACCATTTTATAACCGAAACTCAAATTTTGTTTCAATATGAGTGGTTTCTATTATATATGTTACTTCACTTAAAACTTATGAAAAGCGATGTTACATTATTTTACATTTTAGGCAACGAAATACATATTATATTTTAAGCAACTGGTTCCAGCACCAAAATTGACAAATGTAACTTTTATTGTTACCTTTAAGAAATTAAACACGTCCAACACACACACTATGAAATTCAAGCACCATCAAACTATGCCATTGAAAACTTGCACCAAATGAAGACAATTTCAGTCACCATGCCTACACAGCCGGGAAGAAAATTATCAAAGACAAATATTTTTCGTCGGAAATTACGCCGTCACGCCGAGCTGGTGCTTTAGTAAGCGCGAAAATCGCAAAGAATGTCTTACAAACACACTTGGAACAATGAGTGGCTAGATTACAATGAAAGTTCACTGCCCAACACACACACAAACGCACACACATACACAATTACATATTATATATACATAGAAGAACATACAACGCTGTGGCCTGGCGAAATGCGGCCGAGTTAAGTAATTAGTTTGTAAGACTTGGAATTGAAATGTGTCCGCTTGAATGAGCGCCCACTAAGTAGCTTCTTACTTATTGAGAAGAAAGTATGCATAAGTAATTAGATTTTTTTATTTTTTAATGCGGCATCTATACAAGTGCAAGGAAGTGTAGTTAAATAGAGCAGGAATTACTACACAAGCAATCCTGAAAAATAATAATTAGTTTTTTGTTTTTTATAATTTTGAATTGGTCTTGCCAAAGTTGAAAGGAGTAGTGGAAGCATGGGATGCTTTGATAGTCTGTCTATTTCACTAATTTTCTAAAGTAAGTAATACACGATGTCACGCCTGACAGAAATAACTTCGAAATCGTAGATAATTTCGTCCATTTTGTGACAGGTTGCGGCCTCATGCCGTTAGTTTGGTCCAATAGCCACGTCATCGTATCTTCTATATGAAAAGTATATCATTTAAGGGTCAAGATTATTTAAAAGAACTTTCACTGCGAGGTTTTCTGTTTCACAGTTTCTTTTTAGAAAACTGTTAAAAGATCAATTTTAAGAAAACTTTCACCACGAGCTTTTAGGTATCACAGTGAGCTTTCGTTGAAATATTATCTATTAGCTATGAGATAGCGAAGTAAGCGCAGTTATACTGAAAGCATTACTGGCGTTAGCTTAGCGACCGGCAGAATCTCCCAAGTCGGTAAAGTCGAAAATGAGTACCGAAGCTAAAACAATCCTTAAAATAAAATCCTTCTGCGAGGGAGGTCGTAGCGTTCACATGATAGTTACGAGCGTGAAGCAAGCGACTCGAGATGTTATTAAATGTTTATATTTTTATGACAGGTGCGTAGGGCAAAGTAGCATGAATCACTTTATCAACTGGAGTCACCAACTTAATAGTTTATCGCCAAAAGTGGAAAACTGCTAAGTCTAGAACTCAAACAATTATCGGCAAAAGCTGAAAACTTTTTAATCTAAAGTTCTGAAGTCCCATGAATCGGATAAAAGCATATTATGTACAGTTCGTGGGTAATATCTGCAAACTATGGTGGAACGTAGAATACATTTTGCCTACAAATTCTATTCTGAACTTACTAAATACTTAATATATACATACATATGTACATACTTGTATATATCGTCACCTAAAATTTTTATAATTTTGAAGGCGAAGGAAAAACGTTATAATAAAAACCGCTCACATTGAAACAAAATTTGAGTTTTGGATATGAAATGGTTATATTTTGGTTATCATACACTTATTTTTGGGTTATAAAATGGTTATGTATTGATTATTATACCTGTAGATTTTTTTATCTGTACTTTATTTGGTAAGTCTTGTAGTCTGTCCTCCTAATACATTATGTGAAACTTTTGAAGTGAAAAAACTGGCTGTGGACTTGATATATGCTTTTACAGAAGTGTTTTGAAGACTTACTGACTTACGACCATAATGAAAGAATTAAAAAGTTTCGCAAAATATTCGAACTAAATTTTTTTTCAAATAACGCTTAGTTTAGTAAAGTTTGTACGGCATATAGCAATGTTATAAAATCAAATTCTTAGGCATTTTTGGATTGCAGTATAAAGATATTTATGAAGCAAATATATAGCTTAAGAGATTTAGTACCGCTATTTATTTACAGATCTATTTCATAATAAGTACTTATTGTTAGCACTCACCGCACTGAATTACACAGCTATGGATACCTAATACACATTTATCTGCTGCCAAAGGTACAAAGGGAAGAACCACTTGGCGTTTGGGCAATGAATGAGCTGTTGCAGGGAGAACTTTCAAAAGCAACGATAATTGTTTATTTATGCACAGTATACAAATAATTGTTGAACTTGGTTATCAGGCTTACTATCAGTATTATTTATTCATGCATCACTTCACGCTTTTGCGGCTCCAATATTGTTTTTCACTGTTTGGAGGAAATTGACACCTAATATTTGTTGAAATCTGAAATATGGTATTATCGGAAATAAAATCTTATTTGTTTATGCTGTATTTATATTATATTTTAAATAATTAATTTTTTTCTGGAATTTATGGTTTAATTTGCACTTTCGAAAAATATTATTTGTTTTAATTTTTCTTATAACTTTTTTTTTTGTTTTGTTTGTTAAAAATTTAGCACTTTCAGTTGATGTCTGGAATTTTTTTTTTTTTTTTTTGTTTTGTTTGTTAAAAATTTAACACTTTCAGTTGATGTCTGGAATTTTTTTTTTTTTTTTTTGTTTTGTTTGTTAAAAATTTAACACTTTCAGTTGATGTCTAGAATTCATTCTGTATTTATATTTTATAAATTAGTTTATTTTTTGAAATTTTTTGTTTAATTTTTAATTTTCCAAAATTAATATTTATTTTGTACTTTTTTTTAATTTTTGTTAATTTTTTATACTGTTTATTTGGTTTTGTTTGTCAAAAACTTAACACTTTCAGTTCAGGATTCAGTAGCTTTGTTAGTGTTGTTGTTGTGCTCTGTTTAATAAATTATACCAGTTAATAGAATATTAAGTGTTATGGTCACCATATCTTAAAATTTCTAATGAAGTTAATGCCACTTAACCTAATATTCTATATACAAGTAGAGCCAACAAATCTTGTTGCCACAAATGCACACTTGCAGCACTATTTTTTTGTTTTGTTTAGCTTTGTTATCTTTTTTTTTATACTGTTTTATGCCATTTTTTTAATTATTTTTTTTTCGCTTTTGCAATTTACAGTAAGTTGGACGCGCACTATAAACAGAGATGCAGTCAGAAAGACAAAAACACAAACGGCACACCCGACCACAGCGGTTGCAAATGCTGTGCTGCTGGCACTATTTTTGCAGCCGCCACTGATGGCCAGCGCTTGAAAGCCAGTTGCGGAAAGGCCAACAACAGCAAAGTCTAAGCAAAGAATAGACGAATGGCATCAAACCGAAGACTAAAAGCACAGATGCTGAGCCACTGCAAACGCTTAAATCTTGTCGGGCACGTCGCTGTCGTCGTCTAAGCCGAGCGTGTAGAGAGATTTACAGTGACACACACACATACAAGCTGAGAAATGCATTAGTATTTTTGTTAGTTTTATTTATCACGCCGTTAGTGTAATGCTAAAACAGTTACAACAATAATTAAAGCGGATTTTGTGGGCGCCAAACGCCAGCATACATAGCTCACCGAGCGCACTACGATACACTTAATTTCACCGCACCCCCAAATGAGCGCATCAGCGCTTAGCGCATTTCACTAAAATTCGTTGCTGGCGCACGCTTTTGTTTTTGTTATTTTTTCAATGCTTTTCACTACTGATTTTCCACTTGCACTCTTTTTTCTTCTCTTTGCAAATTTTGTTTAAATTAACGCCCGTTTTAGTTACATAATACTAGTAATTATTCTAATTATTTCAATTTTTTTTCCATTACGCGTTTTTTACTTTTTTTTTTTTTTTGAGGTTTTTGTATTCAAATTAACCATCTGTTGTTAACCGTTCATTAGAGGTGGCCCGGTGCGCATCACCCACGACCATTTGTCCAAGAGCTCGTATTGTATACTAAACTTGCTAAGCATTCAGCAGCTAGCACTGGTAATTGGCCAAAATGTATGCTACCAACCAAATTGTATGAGTGTTCGTTTTCAAGCTCGTACGCGGTAACGGCCGTTTCAGCTGTTGCTTGCGAACAAGTTCGCCGTAGGTTCGTTTTGGGGTTGTAATGTTGTGTTTTGTTGCGACTGGAAGGCTCGTGAGTACAGTGGCGCAAACTGGAAGTATGTGTTATGGACACAGCGTCAATAGAGCGAATGAATAGCTTTCAAGTAAACATAGACCCCTCACAAGTGATAAAGTTTTCTTACCAGAACTACATTTTTATCTCTCAGTTTCTATGGTTAGTATATGCTATAGTTGTCCCATCTCGATAATTTGTTTGAAGATTATGACGTTATCATACACAAAATTAATACGGATCGGACAGTTTGTATGACAGCAATATGCTATTGAAGTTTGATTGTTCACCTACAATTAAAACAGTATAAAAATGGTTTGCCTTGAAGACGATCAACGTGAAGGACGTTCAAAAATTCGCATCAACACCAGAAATCATAGCCAAAATACAAGATATGGTTTTGGAAGATCATCGATCTCATCTCATTAAGTAGTGTGAGCTATAAAATAAGTGAAATTTTGTATTTTAGAAAGCTGTGTGCGTAATGGGTTCCGCATTCGTTAATCGTGGAGCAAAAACACATTCGCTTGTGACTTTCAGCAACATTTGGAGAATTTTAAAAAGGATAAAGTGAGTTTTGGGCATCGATTCATCACTATGGATGAGAATTGGGTCTATTACCATGATCGTGAATCAAAACAAGAGGCTAAAGATTGGTGTGAATCTGGTTGTTCCGACTCGAAACGAGTTCGTGTTCGCATGAAAGTTTTGGCAAGAGATTTTTTGGATGCGAAAGAAATTTTGTTTGTGGATTACATGCAAACTGGTGATATTTTTTCTGAATACATTTACGATATATCGTCTATATAACCTCCAGAGAAAATCGACATTTAAATTAACCTCTCAGGAGCATACAGACATTCGCCCTAGCTATGAAGGCAAGATTTTCACGTTCTCGTTTTCAAAACTATTTTCAATTTCATTCATAACTTTCTAGCAGCTTTTAATATCTCTGATTACTCTAACCTCAATCAGTAATTTACAAATATTAGTATTTCCAATTATCCGCACATCTGCTACATATTTACAGTTGAAATTAGTAAACCCGAAATCGAAAAATTCGCACAAGTATTTCCAGTCCCCAGATATGAGGGAAACAGTCAAATAGCAACAAATTGGCGCCTTCAAACAAAAACCACCATCAAACCGAAACAAACGACGCCCGTAGAAAACAACAAAAGCAACACGCAACCAAGCTCTACTACTTACACATACGCATACTGCTGCAGATGAGCTTCAAACCGAAGAGTCACTGTTTACCAGCCGCTGCTTGGGGAACCGTCGTGAATGAATGCAACAGGCAGAATAGAATTGCCTAATGGCCCACATTTGAGTGTACAGCTGCTGCTGCTACAACAACAAAAACGCGAATTCTAAACAACAAATGTATGAGAATATTTGTTGTATTGACTTTTTTGGGGCGCTCTGGTTTGCTGGAATGGATTTGTGCGGTGGGGATAAGTTTGCGCCAACCGCATACATGTTGCAAGCATCACAGTGGTGGCCAACAAAAACCGCCAGTGTTGTCGTCACAATGAGTCAGAGTGCGGACGAGCTTATACGGCAGCTAGTTGGTTGTGAGTAGTCGCTTAATACCAAACAAGCGTTTAAAATTAAATATAAACCGACTTCTAACAACCATAAAATGCGCACTACTGAACGGTAGTAAAAAAGTATTATAGTATGTGTAGGACAAGCTTTTATCGCGCTTAGAGCGTGTAATGCAAATTAGAAGCGTGAAGACTACGCCAACTGAAGACTTACTTTAATATGCTGCGTGATCTTGGACATTGTAAAAAATATTTAGTAGAAGCGAGTAGCTTGCAAATTATAGCTATGTACAATTGTATATGTATTAGGGTGGGTAAAAAAATTATTAGGGTATATGTAAAAAAATTATAATGACTGATTGTGAATAATAAAAAAATATTTAGTAGAAGCCAGTAGCTTGCAAAGTATAGCTAAATATAAGACTATTATGCATTAAGATGGTAGAAAGTACCACATACAGACTTTAGTATCAGCTGGAGATGATTAAGTGCTGTTTTGGAAGAATTTTAAGAGGGATGAAGATTAGCTATATCGCAACCCTAACATCGATATAACTATTCTCGAATACAACACATATCCTACTACGGAAACTCGATTTTACTATAATCATAGCTAACAGGTATAAACATTTATGCCAATTAGTGAGAATTCAAGTAATTTGGTCTTGGACCTACGTGCCAATCACTCATTTCTTAAAAAAAAATTTACAAAAAGTTATATGGATCGCCCTAATAAGTAATTTAAAAATGGCAAAGTATTTGAAAAAGCCTAAGCTTCCTACAGCCTTCCTCCATGTAACTAACTGACATTGCCTAACAGCTGCAAGTTGTGTGAATTAGTCACACTTCCAAACTCTTTGATTGACAATCTGGTAGCACTGCGGCTACTGGATGTTAATTAACACGCTGACATTTGAAGAACAACCATGAAAAACTGATTCAAAAGTGGTAACTAGTGAGGACGAGCAAATCGAACTTAATGGTTGCGAGTGAGTTACTCAGGCATACATACCTAGAATGTACATACGTACATATCCACACAGAAAACAAGAATTACAAATTTAATAATTAAATTATGGGGACGTGTCTTATCATCACACGCTTTCCGAAGAAAATTAGAATTTTAGCGGATTTCTTTTCAGAAATACTAATGTCATAAAATTAAAAAAATATTAGAAAATTTAGGAGCAGTTAAATTTAAAAAGGTAGTAAAAAAGTTGTGGATAAAGTACTAAATTTATATTAAATAATAAAAAAAAGTATGCCATAGAGGAGCAAACCAGCAGTAGACATTTAAGGAAAATGGTTCAATAGATGCTAATAGAAAAAATGTAGTAGAAGTTGGAGCGAAAAGTTAATAGAGGTTCCAGGTAGTTGAATTCATATTCAAAATAGTATAAGTTATAGGAAAAAGTAGAAAAAGTTAAAAAGGAAAATGTAGTAGGAACTTGTTGTTAAAAGCTGGTTTATTTAAAGGGTATTAGAAGCGAAAAAATAGCAGAAATTTCAGAACATAAGTAGTAGAAAATGTAGGGGGAGTTGAAAAGGTAGTAGAAATCTAAAGAAATATTCTTGTGGTATAGATAAAGTAGCAAAATTCGTATCATTATTTTCATAGAAAAAAGTGGTAGAAGTTAAAAAGAAAAAAGTAGTAGAAATTTTCGAAAAAAGCTATACTTTATTTAAAATGTATTAGTATCGAAAAAATAGGAGAAATTTC